GTGCGTGTGGCTTTACTATTTTCTCGCATGGAGAATTTTCTTCTAGATTTTGGCCGTCCATTGGCATCTAGACCCGTCCTGACAATTTCCTCTGCAATGAAGAAAAAATGTAATACTCAATTTCTTGCCCCTTACTTACATTTATTGATTAACAAGTATCCATAAAATTAAACAGCTACTGCCCATTTGTGGATAAATATACGACCCCAAGAAATAATCAATATAGTATATATCATAGACTAGAGCCCCAATAAAAATATAAAACATAGACTAATAAATGACCAACTAATCAAACCTTTGTGCAAGTTTCTGAGGTAGGCAACATGTGGGAGATCACTAATCATGACCATGTTGAGGATGCCGGTGCGCATGAGGGGCTTGGTGCGCTTAAGGTTGATTGTCTGGACCCAGTCGCCCGAAATCACCTCAAACACATCAATGTGGATGTCACTATAGACTAGGAGAAGGCCATCACACACAGCTGTAAGAAAAAGCAGTTTTACCTTCTATACTGTGTCCCCTGACAGTTGTTGATTAGTAAAACCTATTTTACACATCATTATTAATACATTGATATTCAAAATAAGTTACTTATACGTAGACAGACAATTAAAAAATAAAAAATTAAGCAAAGGTACCCTATACTAAAGCTAAACAAACAACTACAGCGAAGACCATCCCATCATCTTACCAACAGCAGTGGGTATAGCAGGGTACATTATCTCCTTTTCCCGACTCTTGCGACCTGAAGCATCCACATATACAGCTAAAAGGTTAAAAACAAGGAGGTATTCTCCTCTTGTGACTTCTATGCAGCTGAGAGCCTCACACTGCGTCATTGAGAGGAAACCCAGAGACTGACTCTCCGGATGTACCAAGGCTGGAGGAGAAAAGTTTTAATTAAAATTTCATTACATACCCCGTTGGTCATAATCACTGTGACTGGGATTAGTACATAAAAAAAAATTCAATCATTACTTTGTTTTGCAAGCAGCAGATACACTTACACAAAGGCTGTTGATCACCAAGAATAGAATATATGGTGAATGCTGATTGGAAGCCCACGGCAAGCCGCCCATCCCCCAGAATATCAAGACTCTGGGGTGGCTGCGGCAGGAGGATGGAGCGGAACACCTTGTGTCGCCCTTTTGCTCGGTTAATTTCATAAATGATGATCTGTAACAACAACAAATATAATGTTTTGCATAATAATTGATACATGTATTACATCTCATTTACACAAACCTTTGATGTAATGCAAAAATCTTTACATAGGGCTAAAAATTCCTTTAAAAAAAAAGAAAGAAAGAAAGAAAGAAAGAAAAAAAAAAAAAAAGAATACTAACTTGTCTTTTGACAGCCACACACAGGCAATAAGTAAAGTTAAGGCTGCTTGGAGTGCGAAACTTCCCCGTCGTAAAAGCAATGGCACCTTTTGTTTCCGACACCTGAAAATGTGAAAGAATACATTACACTTTTCAAACCATGTATTTCTTTAGTGGTGAATAATCAAAATTAGAAAAATTACCTCAAATACCTGCTATAATACTAAAACTTCTACATTTTAGGCAATGAAAATCACATCATTATAATGTTTTACAGGTAAACAGATATCTGAGGATAATGTCAGGAATACCTAAATCTTATAACTACCCTTCATATTACAGACCTCTTCAAGATATCCTTTATGTTAGTTCTAACATTCAAAGTATCTAGTAATAAGTATCCATAAGAGAAATAAGGTTTGCATTTCTATCTGGATTACTTTACATAAAACATGCACTTGGAACTTATCATTATAATGAAAAGTCAGACTTATGTAACCCTCTCCATGTCCATACCTTCAGTAGTCAAACCTTACCTATGAATAATTACTACATGTAAACTCTTTAATTCACTTAACAGGCATTTAAATCAATTCAGTTAATCATTTCTATACAAATGTGAATTGGCACCAGAGTAAGTCTTCTTCAAGACATCTTACTGTACTGTATATCAATATAAATGGTTATCATACAAAATGTTGAAGATATTCCATCAAGCCTTAAAAATATCTAAACAATAAGTTTATATGTTCTCAATAATTAGCCTCAGGCACAAGATAAGCTTTATTACATATTCTATACAAAACAAGTTTATAAAATATTTAGATAATACCACATACAAATGGACAATTAAACTAGTACTCACAGACTTTAAAACTAAATATTATTATAATAACAATTATAATAAATGTTTAAAAAGTTATCATGTCCGTGTCAAAAACAAATAAAATATATAAAGTCACGGAACTGTGCTTGTTCAAGATGTACCCAATCTGATGGAAATCACTTACTTGTATACTTGGCTTTAAGTCCCATCCAGCATGTAACAAACAATGTATCATGTTTTGCCAAATCTCATCTATTCTGCTTTAATATTAACACTTGCATTTACAGTGCAGTAAGAGAATCAAGCACGAGTTACATAGTCTTAACAATATACTAAAAGTACGAAAAATATATAATTTTCATCTTGATGAATAGAACCTCTACACATTTATTGAAAATATCAACATTGGTTTTTCTCTACATTTGGAAATTCAAACCATATACAATTTTCTTTTCTTATTTTTTTGTTCTTATTCAGGAATTGTACCAGATCCCTAATGCATAATCAAATATCATAAGAAAACAACAACCCCACTTGAAATATTTACCTGTGCACTCATATATCTATTGCCATATCTGAAATTCTATTATCACTCAAGCACCTTTCCTGTTCTCTATTAGAACTAGGAAGGTGCTTTAAAACTGCAATGTGAGAAATGTTTCTTTCATTTTCCATGCTGAGGCTTGTTTGATGTGTACTAATGAATTTCCTCATAATATAATCATACCAAATTTTACTACCTGGAGCTTCGGTGGCCAATCTGCACTACATTTAGAAGGTGATGCCTTTCCTATGATTATTGCACATGTACTTCTTTACTCTCATTTACCAATGCACTGAAAATCGGGGGGTCGTCTTCTCCTTCTCATACACACCAGCTTTTAGACACAAACAACTCAGCTTGTTTCTCACCTTAATCCACTCAACGTCATCTCCCCCAAGAGCTCTGACAGGGACCAGCTTCACTTGTCTTTGCCTTCCAGCAATAACCATGATGAGCTGCTCCTCTGCGATGTATTCCAAGCTCACTATCTTCTTACCATCTCCTATACGTGCAATTTCTGTTGAAGGAAATCATGCACTCAGGTCAGAAATAATAAGCACAATGTCTTTTTTTTGTAATAATTACCTCATAAAGCCAGGGAAAATATCATTCAAACATTATAGTTATAATTATCATCATCATAACCATACCCATACCTCAATGACCTCTACAATTTTTAATCACCCTGCACTCAATGAATTGTTATCTCCATAACATATTCATTACAATCCTTTATTTCAAGCATTTTTTGTCACTTAAATTCATAAACCTATGAAATATATCCTAACAAAATAAAATAACTTGAATGACCAGATAGCAGAACTTGGAAAACAAAAAATATCACACAGTGCAAATCACTTATTAGCTCATTTCAATAGACATTTTTTTTTTACTGGAAAAGACTGCAGCAACACCACTTGCTAAGCTAAGACTGTTTTACATACCACAGTTATCAAGGTCTATACAGAAGAGGCCTTCCTCAGCACCCACAAGAAGACGGTCTGGATCTATGACAGTTCCACACACTGCATTCTTGATGAGTGTCACACTGCCATCAACAACTTCATGGGCACTAAAAACCTGTTGAAATTAAAGGGGGGGGGGGGTGTTTTCATTATAAACAGACAATTAGGACTAAATTCCTTATAATATCAACAAAACTTCCCTGATATTACAAAGATTTGTAAAAAACAACCTATCAAGACACCAAATATCCCAATAATCTTTCATAGCAAACAAATTGTTTACTTACTTGTCTATTAGGTAGTCTGTTTCTCTTGAGAATGCGATGCAGCTCATTTAAGGCTACAACCCACTTGGTCTTCTCATTTTCAGTGTCTGCTAGCATGAGTGTGTGGTGTCTTACTCCCACCATGGATGATGTTGTTACCTAGAAAGTTGGTAGCAGTCAGTATCTTTCTTTCATCTCAAGTTGTCTCCCCTAAATATGTTGCTTCATATCAACTACAGCATACAACTATGTAATAATAACATAAATAATTTCCACTTCCATACTTACCCTAAATATACATGGAATATCTTTTTTGTTGGCATGGATCACATCTGAATCCCTTACTGTTGATACTTCAAACTGGTCATCTCTCATATCTAGGACTGTGCTTACCCAAACACTTGGTAAAGCATTCCTGTGGAAAACATAATATTGTGATCAAGCTTTCACAAATCTTATATCAGTTGTATGCAGTTGTTTCTTTCTATAAATATTAACTGAAATATTAAATGAATACATTGTTTATGTTCATATTTCAAGTCTTCTTTTTCCAGAACTTGCAAAGGAAGTTTGCAGTTCAGTATATACTTTAAAAAGGCTGTCATTAAAACATGCTAAATTCAAAACAACTTGGACTTATTTGAACAGAAATTACTTAAATTAACCATAAACTGAAAAGAAATTGAACTAACCTATCTGGTGAAATATCATAGAGAAAAAGCTTGAAGTCGCACACCACAACAAACTGTCTGGACCAGCCCTTTTTGACACCCCCAGGTTTAGGCACCTTTACAAATCCTTCATATGCAGTTCCAATGCCGCGTGTAGGATCTATGCCCAATGGTCTTTTCGCTTTGGGAGGGAGAGAGAGAAAAGTTACAACAATATGTAACTAACTACAAACATTAAACAGGTCTATTGCAAACATGTAAAAAATCCAACATGATATGAAGCCTCATACTTTACACTTACTCTGGTCAGGTGGAACAGGGCAGATTTGAGGAACCTTGTCCTTACAGGTGGTGTGGCAGGCAAAGCCACATACTTCACACACAACCCCCTGGCGAGTAAGCCCCACCATAAGGGAGGTGCAGTGAGAGCACTTGATAGGGTTGCTAAATGACCGCACCAGGAACTGATGGGCCTTCTGCTTCATCATATGAGGGGACGGGCCTCCGCCACTGCTGCTGCTACCTCCAGAGAATGCCCCAGAGGTATGGTGGTGGGCCATGGTTGGCATTACGCCAGCAGGAACATTGGCGGCAGTGTGAGGTAATGGTGGAAGAGGACGAGACTCCATGTTGGGAGAGCCCAGCTGTTCCTGGTATTAGAAATGTAAACAAAACAGAGTTACTAACATCCCTCGAAGATCACAAATAGATTATTGAATAGGTCATATATTCAAAATCAATGACATAAACTACGATCCTGCTATAACATGCAAACATTATTACATTTTTTTCTTTTGCTTTTCTTTTCTCTTTTTTTTTTTTTGTACAAAAATGTAAGGTTTGTTTAATGGAAATACTATTCTAATTTCAAATTTTGTCTCCATTTCTTTAGAATCCAATTGTCTCATGCACCAAACCAACCTGACTAACAAAGGAATGAGACGAGGCTATGGAGGGAACGGAAGGTGCTCTGTTGTCTTCCACATCCCCCTCCTCTGACTCTAATGATCCCTGTCGTCTTAATGAGGTCTCCTTCAAAAACTGCTCCAGGAAGGACATCTGTGAAGCTGGACGTTCCAACACTGTAGGAGGGCAGAATTCAGGGACAATGAGCAGTCTGCCTACATCATATAAACAAACTGCTCGTAAAAAGAATGGAGAAAGGAAAGAGAGAAAAGATAAAAAAAAAGAGATGATGAAAAGTCCTTATGGCTCGTATAGCAATTGAAAAAAAAATAGTCTGAGGCAATGAATCTGTGATATTGCATAATGTGAATTCCAATAAAATATTTATTGGAAAAGGAAAAGACCAAAATATTGTAGTATTTGACAAGCTCATAGATCTCCTTTTGCATTCTGCCTTACTTTGAAAGAAGCAGTAATAATGAGTAAAAATATATCTACAAGATACCAAGAATGAACCTTTTTCAATTTGTATTTTTTCAAAAGCTGATCTAACCAGAGAATACAAGGATATTACAAGACCTACGATCAAAACAATTCCAATACAATTTCTCTTTCAAGGGTTGCAACGATTAAATAACTTTACATTGTACACTGATCTTAAAACTATGCATTACAATGCAACACACACCACCAGATCTAAATTTGCTACAAGATCAGCTAAAGTAGGAAATGCTTGATAATGTAGTGCATTTGTGTATATACTTAAATCAATCAGCACCACTTCTACTGCTATGGTAACATTCTAGTCAGAAGCTGAAACAAGCAGTTTCCAATATATCATCTCAGAGTTCTAGTAAAAATTCTTACCAAAACCGAACATACTTCTTCCGATAGATCCTAAGAAAAATATATATTCTAAGATTAGACATGCACATAAAGTTTCAGGTGACGATAAATCTAATTCCACAAACGTTCCTTTCGTTCTGAATATATCAATCAATTATCCCCACCTTAGAAAAAAAATGAAAAATATATATTTAATTGTTTTAAAACAATATCCACATTGTGAGCACTATGCAAATGCCACAGTGACTGGCTATATCATCATATGACACAAATCAAGGAGTGTGTTAGTTGTTAATTCAATACCAGACGAAACACACTGAATCACATTTCTTGGCCAGAATTCTGAAACTTCCCACAGGCGGGCGGAAAATTGGCTCAATGACATATTCTTATGCCTAGGCTCTTTCATAGTGATGAAAAAAAGGAAAAAAAAAAATTAAAAAAAGGAAAAAAATTTAAAACATAGTTTCAGAATTGGGACCCGACTTGGGTGAGTGTATTTAACTTAAGACAAGACAATCTGGCCAGCAGGTTTTGGTTTGTCATATAGCCCTATTTCCACAAACTGAATCTATCTATACTGCAAATATCAGCATTTATATATTTTTTGCTTTTCTTTTTTAAAATCACCCACTCTTTGATATATACAAGTTAAACGTAAAAATCATTTGTTATAATTGCTTTCCAGTATATTAGAAAACACACTGAAAAAATTCAAATCCAATGACCAAAACCTGTTCTAATGGTCAATATAAAGCCACGCAAATAATGAATGAAAAAAAAGTACATTAAAAAATAATATATAGGGATGGGTGGGGGACATGAGACAAAGGGCAATCAAAATGGGGCTCAGTCATGGTACATTACCAAACTTTCGAGTCTTGCGTTCCTGCGTGGCAGCTGCATGTGCGTGCGTGCGATCAGAAATAGATTTTCATGAGAAGGATGAGGAAACCCCAGAGGCAGCTAGTCAGCCCAATGAACAAGGGCATTTTGTCTGCAGCACCACCCAAAGAAGATGATAACTGGGTCAGTGAGGGACCTCGGCATAAACACCCCATAAAAACAAAACCAATTTTGGGGAGTAACAGATCATTTACCACTAATTACCCATACAAAATCATTCTAGAGTACTCAGCAATTAGTGTTTC